TGTTGGAATATTTGTCCACTAATTACAGACGTTGCGCGAGCGCCAATGTTTACTTGTCATCTACATTAACATAATTTATGCGATTCATTCATCAAGGCCATTATGTCAATTTTTATCATCTTCTGAGAATCACTTTGGGCATACAGTAGTACAGATTAATTATTTTTTAGACAATTCAAGTCTTATTTTTGATAACTTTGTCATATAAGAATTGTGTTTATGTGATCTGGTAGGTCCATCCCACAATAAAAAGTGCAAACATAATAGATAAACATTGAATGCAACACCCAATGTTTTACTTGTCATCCACATTAACATAATTTATGCGATTCATTCATCGAGGCCATTATGTCAATTTTTATCATCTTCTGAGAATCACTTTGGGCATACAGTAGTACAGATTAATTATTTTTTAGACAATTCAAGTCTAATTTTTGATAACTTTGTCATATAATAATTGCGTTTATGTGATCTGGTAGGTCCATCCCACAATAAAAAGTGCAAACATAATAGATAAACATTGAATGCAACACCCAAACGAAAATGTTCACCCAACGAAGGGTTGATGGAAGCATTGTTTTCGTATGTTTACGTTTGCCGCCGCATGGCGGCAAACGTAAAAATGCACGCACACCTGACAAATGAACCCGTTTATTCCGTGTTAACGATTTTGACCCGCTCCGTCATCACTCAGCTAGCGCGTCGTGCCACGGAAACACGTGTACGTGTTTGTAGCGTCAACAAACAGTGGGAAGGAATCAGACAAGGGAGTGTTGATGCAGCTTGTATAAAAATATCCGACAAGAAACACGCTCCAAGGAACCCCACAAGCGTACATAAGTGTAGCCCGGTGCTTCCGTCTGAGTATCAAGTAACTAACGGGAACACGTAACCTTCCTATAAACATGCTAACTCAGCGCAACTCAGTTGCACTCATAGTAAGAAGGCACAAAGACAGAAACCAGCTGTTTCCAATGGCCAAGTTTCACATTCCGATGTATAGTCTCCGGTAGCTCTCTGAACGTCGTATTCCCCACTCTCCTGCAGGTGTCCTTCATGGTGCGGCTGGTGCCGAGCCCTGATTGGTTCTCCGGAGTGAACAGTTTAAGTCTGTGTGAGGACGGCCGTTGGATGGACGAGGTCCGGGTGGACATGCACCCCTGGGACGCGGGAACAGACGCGGGACTCACCTTCAGCTCCCCGAGCTTTCCCGAGAGACGCCAGCACAGGATTTCCATGATCACGTCCAAGTTTCCCAACCACCCGGCATCCTCGTTCTACTACCGGAGAAGACCGAGTCTTCCTCGCATCGGGGAGGCCATTTTCATCAAGCTAACCCCTGATCCCACCACTCCTGAACCAACCACACTCCCGCCGACAACCACCACTACCATGACAACGACAACTCTGCCGCCAACCACTACAACCACCACCACTCTTCTACCAACAACTACAACCCTTCCACCAACCACCACAACCCTTCCACCAACCACAACCACCATTCCACCCACCACCACCATTCCGCCAACCACTACCACCATTCCACCAACCACTATGGCACCAACCACCACCACTCTCCCACCAACCACTACAACCACCATGGCAACAACTACGTTGCCACCAACAACGACGACGGAAAGGACCACTCCGGAAATGACCACAGAACCGGAAATGACGACAGCTGAACTGACGACACCAGACCTGACCACCGCTATGAGAGAAACAACAACGCAGATGGAAACTACGCAGCTGCAAACGACATGGGGTCCAACAACCACATTAGTAAGTTTATAATATTGCAACATTTTGTCGACTATACTGACGAAGTATGCTATTTCGGAAGACCAAGGACGTCCTTGGGAAGACCCCATGTACACGAGACTTGCAGTATAGATGCCAATCATGAATGTCATTTGTTTAATCTATTGTATTGCACTGTTTATTGCTCCAGGAGCCATTAACCACAACAGCACACGTCACCACCACGACACCGGCGGACGAGTACTATCCCATGGTTGTTGATGTGGGTGCGAAAACATGGGACGTCGACGGTGGGTTAGATGTAAGTGTCAGTTTCAAATGGCTGTTTGATTCCTTTTTTAATCAAAAATCCCCTTCAAATATAGGAACTTTTTTCATGGTCACCGTTTTGTACATCACTACATGTATCGGTCAATGGAGGAAGAAACAATTTAGTGTCTATTAGACATATAAAGCTAATTCGCAATGAACGTCCTTCTTGCTTAGCCCTTACCTTTGCCTTGTCCAGGGAGAAGAAACAGCAAAACACATGATAACCACAGAGTTGACGAAAGAGGATCTCATCCCGACGAAGAAGGATGACGACGACCCGAAGTACGCCTACATCTCGTCAGCAGAGGAGCAGGTGGAGGACAGACCGCGCAAGACTGGATTTGACGGTGATGATTTTATTCTGGAACCGAAACACAATAGCGTCGAAATCAGTGAGTGAGCGTTTGACACGTCTTTCACATTTTAGTCTGTAGAAAAAAGAAGAGGAACATGCAGGCAGAAATGAAAAGAAGGAAAATGATGAAGATACGAGTATAAATTAAAGAAAGTGCAGTTACCTATAGTATGACACCAAATAAAGCGTTTTCCAAGATACAACAGACTGCAATATTGCAATACCATTTGTTCACAATTTGACCCTGAACTAAACGTGAACTAACAGATTTTCCTGTAACGTTCCAGTCCTGCAGGTGATTTCTCAACCCTCGTATACTCGTGGGTCTGGAACCGCAACATGAGTTGTGCCACAGAGGCACAGACAGTGTGAAATCTTGTCTGGTGTTGCAGATGTTAAGTTCAAGTTGTAATTTGTCTCTGTCCTTGATTCCCCAGCCGATACCGGGTCAGGGGTGAACCCCCAGGCGGACGAACAGAGGGACCGCGCGCCCGACAACCGGCCCATCCCGCTCCCCGTCCGCCTGCCCTCCGGACATCCCTCCGCAGACAAGAAAGGAGACTTACATGTAGGGTCCAAGGGCAAGGAGAACGTCCCCAAGTTCTCCAGTCTGGAGGAGGAACTGTATCCGCCCTTCATGTTAAAGTCAGGCGATGGTGTGTTTGGAGGAGACAAGGTGGAAAGATCAGACAGTAAGTACTACGTCTTATACAACATCTGTCACTAGTAGGCTAGCGATTGCGCACAACTTTATAAGGGACCACCTACGTTTTGATTGCACAGATTCAGGCTTGAATTATTTGATACCGTAGAATGTTAGCTTCGCAAATGACGCACCTTGCCACACAAATATTAGTGTATAAATGAGGGTATTCTATACAGCTATACACTAGGATTAAGTGATTGTAAATCTTAGTTGTAAATTCCAAAACAGAGAGTGTGAGTTTATATTCCACCAAGGCGTAGTTGCACATATTTCATTAACGTGACATTGGCGCATCCTGATGTCGTCAATCGTTTCGTCTCGCCCAGCAGCCTCCGACCCGAGTAACAATAACAAGCCGACATGCGTGACTGTCAGGGTGTTTTGCTTGCTTTCATAGAATCTTACTCTGTATAGAAAGCGCCCACGCAACGTGCCAATCTTGGGCCTAAGTAGGCTCCGTAGGTAACATTCTCAAGGCCAAAGCAGTGCGTTATACAACATCGTAGCTGGTACTGTTCCCTGTTGGAAACATTTCACGGTATACAACTACTATGTCAGTGAAAACACATCGCATTTTTTAACGACTCTGCTGACAGTTAGTGGTAGCCTACATTGCATCAGAATGTTTTCATATAAATGATGCACGAACAATCGAATCACTGACTTGAAATAGATTTATTTGTTAATCTACCATAATCAGCATACATGTATTTCTGTCAATCCGTTTTAGGTTTTAGCGACTTTTAAGTAAAATATGTCTCATCCATTGCGATACTCGTCGTTGTCATCCTCAAACTTGTAACAATCTCTCAGAAAGTTCGAAATAACGTCCAGGTTATTCACCTTGCACCCACATTCTGGGTTATCCCAAGAATTCCGATCTGTTGTCCGTCGTGAAGGCCCTTTATCTTCAGCTGTTTCTCGACAACCACGACGGTGAACAACAGTGAAAATATCAGGCCCCAAAACAAGTCCCAGAAAACACGAATCTGTGCGGAAAGGTTACCGTGAGCACGCAGCGCGAGGCGCGTGGTTCGCCCGTCCCCGCTGTTACCCATGGGGATCAATGGACGCCATGTCAGACTCCGGCCTGCCATTCCTAATGCTCAGTCAGCGGGAAACAGAAAATGTCAGAAACTCCAAGGACGCTGAAAAGAACGATACTCACAGATCTAGAAGGGCGATCTAACTATTATGCAAGGTCAGGTTCGAATCGTCCAAATTGAAGTGGACTGCGTTGAAAGAATATACAGTTGGGCACTATGTTTATCACAAAATCAGTGTCTTATACGTGACTGGCATCTTTTGGCAGCATAACTAGAACCATATATGATTTTTAGGTGTTGTTGAAAAAGCCATCAACCGCCCTTCTGTGAGTACTAGGCCTCGGTTCAGGACAACTTTACCTTAGTCCTGTGTGGTGAAAGAATATTTGCAATGGTTGATGGAACAAAGATTTCCTCTTTTCGTGAAGATTGATACCGTGAAAGATTTTTGAAAAGGTTTTGATTTGATTTGATTAAACTTGAACTTTTCTCCTGTTCTGCCCCCGCGCAGTGCCGGTGAACTGTGCGGTGTCTGCGTGGTCTCCGTGGGGCCAGTGTTCCACCACGTGCGGACTGGGCATCAAACGTGCGACACGCTGGGTCACACAGGTCAGTATCATACGTCTTGTGCAACATTCGCCGTACAACGAAGGGGGAGGGGGATGTCCCCGAACAAGCTAGTCTGATTTCAAATAATTTCTGTACAGATTGGACACCTTCAAGATCCTTCAATTCTAATACCGGATACGCAAGTCATATCTAGGTCAGATCAAACTTAAGTATTACATCAAACAATACCATTGTTTAATTGAAAATATTACCTGAAAGGTGATCTTGTGTAAACAAAAAACATAAATACATAAAGCCCGATGGACGTAGGACTCACGTAGTTTTCACATTGATGATTTACCCAGTACCTGTCCCTTCCAGGCTCCGGAGAATGGCGGCGAGCCGTGCCCTGCTCTGCTGAGGGAGGGGATCTGTATCAACGACCCGTGCCCGGGAGTCGAGATGTGTCTGTTCGACTGTAACTCCAGATACAACTACCGATTCATACCCTACAAACGTAAATTCGGACAGGAACCGTAGTCTTTACACACAGTAATACAGAGCCATGCTGGGAATATGGATTATTTTTGTATAACACATGATGTGATGCTTGATTACAGAGATGGTCATCGGCAACGGAAGTAGTGTGCAAAACATGTACATTTTCTGTTTTCTACATTTTGAAATACGGGAGAGGTACCGAAATGTATGTATTATTTTGGCAGATGTAATAACATGATGTGCAACATTTGCACACATACGGAGTAAAAAAATAACGGAGGGATATTTCTAGCTTTAATAGTATATAAAGATTATACTTGTAACGGCAGATGCCTGATCAAAGCACGTTAGCTCCATAGAATGTTGCTGTTCCAAAGTGTACTTGTTGATATGTAATAAGGGTACCTCTGAACAGATCGCATTTGGTCAGATATATTGCAAGGCTATGTGTTGACTATGCCCATCATATAAAAATATTATATTTCACTAACAGCAAAAGTTGTATGATATGCCTTTTAAGTGGAGAGCTGTAAGATATTTATTATATCTCATTCTCAATAGACTGTGTTGGCTGCTTGTTTCACCTGTCATGAACTTTAACGTAATGAACTTCCCCTTGTCCCCTTGTATGTTGAAATTCCGCAAATGTCAAAGCAGCTGCTTTGAGGAAGAAACAAAAAGGAAATAAATTATAAGAAAGGAGGACAAAAGATACAGGGAGCAAAAAAGGAAAGAAAGATTAAAGAAGAAAAACGGAAGGAAACATGACACGAAAAAGTGACCCTGACGTTTAAATCAATCTGTTCTGTTTTTAGAAGCCTGGCTGGCTATTATCTAATTTGGCCGGATCCATAACCTATAACCTAGTTACACCGCACTGGAGTTGTGGGCATTGTTTGAGAAAAACCCTGCCATCTGTTATCGCCTTTTGCTGGGTCGGCTGGAATCATCTGGCTTCAATCTGTGCTACATGGGAGAGAACAGAGGGGGTTTTCTCCTACCTCACCACCTGGATCGGGAGATGGCAGACGTGGGTGAGAGTACCAACCAGCAACACGCTTTACGGCCATGGAATAATTTCCAGGTCAGAACAAACCAACTGAAATTCGTGCAGTCTGTTTGCACTTAAGAGGTGTGTACTCAAGAGTCAAGACAAAACGCAAAAGAGATAAGACAATTGGCTGGAATTTCCGACCCCGGTGATCATTTCGCTCTCGTGTGTTTACGGTGATAGCACGTATCTTATATATACTGCCAAAGACCCGTTCACAGAAAAGTTCAAATAAACAATACTGTACTGGGAATAGAACATTAGCTCATGCTTTCCCAAATTGAATTCGAAAGTAGGTCCCGTTTCCTGAGTTTCATCCTCTAATATGAGGTAATGTCTACCTCAAAAGTCGCGGTTTAACCCATGGTATTCTACCTCTACGGGTTCCATTAGCACCATATGTTTTTGGTTGTATTTGGTTAACTTTAAAAGTTGGAGTTCTATATATAGTCATGAATAGTAACAAGTATTTTGTTCTGTCAGATTGAGAATGACATCCGCACAGTATGGCCTGTCCGAGGATTACAATTATGGTGTCCTGATCGCGGCAAAACTCTAATATAAAAGGCCAAGTATCTAACGATCGCGATGTCATACAATTGTCTATGTTTAATTTAGATTTGACATGCATTGTTTGTCCAAAAGGGGATTTGGATTGTAGATGTACAATGCGCATTCTGTCTATCAAATAATTTGAAGAGAAACGGTCCACACGATCTGTCTTCTAAATTTCACAGTTGCCTATTTCCCATGGTGGGAAGTTCCTTCTTCTGGTCCCGGGATCGGAAGGAACGCTAAAGGTAGACAGCATGGATCGTTGGGTGCACAGAGGGGACTACCCCTGACCCCTGTCCACCTCACCACTTCCAACTTTCCTTAAAACATCCTGATGAAAGGAAGAACGAAACCGCCGGTGCACCGGGGCACAAGAAAGAGGTTTTTGTTCCAGGAGAGACTTTCCAGATCCGGTCTCAGCTGGTTATCTAGACTTGCTTATTCTTTCAAAAGCAGCTGATTATCAATATTCCGTCCTTGGAGACAGACCATAAGAGGCTTTGGGGAAAGGTCTATTTTTACACTACGTATTCATTCATACAGCGGCAAATTTATTCTCGTCTTCTAGAGAAAACATCTTCAGCTTTCACTGAACAAATGAACACCCGAAAGCGTTAACACGTAGTGTAGTCGTATAGAATAATGGTGGGTCCCCATGATGTCTTTGTGTCCTTGAACAAATGCAAATTAGCCAAAGTAGACTGTACGTAGACACCACTACTATGCTGTGAGTGGGCTGTAGCATGAGTGGGCAGGGGGATATGTGGAGTCAACGCTGCTGCACATGCACAGGTTTCTATACAATACATCCTAGGCAAAAACGGATGGCCTTCTGCCAATTAAATACACGACTCTGGATTGCCAAAATTCCTGTCTTAGGATTTTCTACATACCAGCTGCAGACAGTTACTTAACAAAGTCCTTTCCATACCGGCACATGCCCCTCCCCTCCCCCCATGTTGGATAATCAGTGCTTCATTCAATGTAGTACTAGTTTCGATACATGTATCTAATGTGCATATTACAAGTATATGTTTAAATGTCTATAATTGTTCTTCCTGCATGTCCTACAGTAGGCTGGACCAGGCACTGACAAATTCTATGTATGGGATCCTGCAGCACTGAGGTGCCATAATATCACCAACACTGACTGTAACCTACATGCACGCTGAAGTGATTACTCCCATCTACATGTCTTATCTACAGAATACATGTTTGCCTTGCCAGATGACCAGAAGGCCAGCAGATACTGCCAGGGCTGAGACAAACGCGCCAGTAGTAAGGCTGTGATACAAGCGTGTTGCTTGACATGTAGCAGGACATGTCATTACAAACTGCTGACACAAATGAAGAAAAGCATTGAAAAGGCTCTTTTTGTCAGTCTCCATTTTTATTACTGGTTCAATGCAAAAATCCCCATCAGTGTACATGTACAGCATGAAGTTAATACATATTGAATTTTACAGGATCATAAAAGTTAATAGTATATGTAGTATGTAGGTATTGAAATCAGAATATTTTCATATAGAATAATGATTGTTGTGAATTACCATTATGACACTTGTTTGATAAATTGTCTCCCAAGCAGTATACTACAATCATAAAGTTACATGAATCTTGTCAAGCTAGGTTTTCTTTTCCTCCACCTTGTCAGAAGCCAGGTACACCTTAATCGGAGGTAACGGCCTGATCTTCCGGCCTGCCCAGCCCCCCTTCCTCTTCCACAGACCGCTGCTGGGACGTTTTCCCAGCCAACGGTTGCGCCCGGCTTTCCCGATCATTCGCTGGTTGTGTTCATGGTTGGACACCTGACCAACTGTCACCATGCAGCGCTCATCAATGGAGATCTGATGCTTGGAGGGCAGCTGCAGAATTACCTACAATAATGATAATAGAGAAAAAGTCAAACATTGATTCTGTGGTAAGTACACGTAAGAATGCTTGGGTGCTTTTCTGTTCATGTCAGCTTCCTTGGCACTTACTTATCAACATTCCAATATCTACATTAGGGAGGATATTACTATTACTATCAAAGGATTTCATGTTTTTGAAGCCACATAGCCTTACACACAGAGTTACAGAACTCTTTTGCCTAACTCTACAACATGTCCAATGTATTAAGCCTAACTCCATGTCCAATGTAGTTCTGTTGGTCCCTGGTGTAATACCAAAGAATTTTACCTAACTCAACTTGTCCAGTTGAAAGATACTACATGTACTAGTATGCTGTTAAAGAAAGTATAAACTACACAGAATACAAATTTGAGTTCAATTTTCCCATTTATACATAAAATATTGTGGTGGAATACTGTGCAGGTGTAGATTTCCCCAGCTCACCTGTCCTGCAGCCTTCCTGAGTACCTGAGCCGTGGTGCCAGCTGCACGTACAAGAGTGCCTCCAAAGTGTGGCTCCACCTCCACGTTATGTACCAGGGTTCCTGTGGGGAGGGCTCCTACTGGGTGGGCATCACCTTCTTCTGCCAACACTACAGGACCACAAACAGTGGTTACAACACTGTTAGATCTGCTGTTGTACTGGGATGTCTATAAGGTCATTTCTGACCTTCTCCAGAGCTACTTTTCAACAAGCATTAAAAAGTTATCTTAATGTAGATTTAGATAGTAATCATGAAAAGAGTCCAAGGTCCAAGATGAAAAGTGTTTGCAAAACCAGGATTGGAAATTTTTATACCACAAACAAACAAACAAACAAACAGACAGACAGACAGACAGACAGACAGATAAACAGACAAACGCACCAGGCATTCTGGGAATCTCTCCGTATGTCCTGATAAGGTTGCCAGCCTGCATGTTCCTGGTGGCCAGGATGTAGCGCTTGTGGGCCTCTCCTGCAACGATCGCGATTCTGGCCGAACGGTTGGGATCGTACCTAACAGCGACCACCTGTGGGAATGTGGAAGGAGTAGGTATGTGAGCTGGGCCAAGAATTGTGAATGAACTGAGAAAAGAGAGAGAAATATCATAACTGCTGTGTAAAGACTGCTACACTGCTCCAATTTGGGACAACAGTGTATTCTGGGGTAACTTGTATATATTACCTTTTCTGTTTTTGGAGGGCCTTTCTCTGGACCAATCCGCTTGAAATCCACCATCCTGTAGTGGTGCTTGTGTCCACCTCCAATGCCATGGATGACAATTCTTCCTGAAAAAACAAATTCAGCACTTTTTAATGCTTAAAGTTATATCAATAGTGCATTCTTGAACTGACAATGCATGCATATTGAACTTTTCCAGTTTTAGAGATAAAAAATATCAAAAGTTGACAGACCTGTCTTGGGGTCTCTTCCACCACTCTTTGGGAATGGGATAGGCTTTAGTGTGTAGACACCTTTCTTGTAGATGGGATGGTCCTTGAACTTTGTGAATCCATCCTTAAACCTGTTGTCATGAGGTGCCGCGCCAGTCGTGTACAGTCCTGATGTTTGTACCACTAGTCCTACTCCAGGAGGAGTGCATATCATATACCGTGAACTGTCCACAGTCAAAGCTGGGCACTTTGCCTTCCCACGGACTTGGAGTTCAAGTACATGCTGAAGACTGCTGCAGTTCAAAGCTCTGGTACATTGTACTAACGTGTTGGAAGGACCCTGGAGGCTCAATCTGGCCAAGGACTTTGACAAGTTGATTAGGCCCTTAGACATATTGTTCTCTATGTCAGAGACTACTGTGACATATTCCGTTCATAGGAATCACCCAACGGAACTGTAGCTGGTCGAGAAAACCTGTCAAATGTGTCAAACAGTGCAAGTTTGTTATTAACAGTATCAACTACTGCTCGTCAATTGATACATTCATTCAATATGAATCATACATTCACTTCCAATATTCTAACTAGGCCTAGTTAATTGATTAGCAATGTCCTCCAATATATTCGCTTTTATGATTTTAAACTTAAACCTGCTTGCTTACATATACATTCGTAAAAGCAGATTCCTGAGTCACGGCTAAAATTGTACGTGAATCTGCTCCTAATACTAATAGTAACACTCTACTCTTTGGTACAAATTTATGATTATGTGAACAGCTATAAAAATTTTCAACATAAATTATGGTCTATCTAGTTCAGGTGATCAGAGTTTAAACCGCTTGTACAGGATGTTAAGCATCTCCTGAGACCAAAATACTAGGTTTAACGATGACTTGGAATAATAAGAAGCCGAGTTTTATGATAAGACTTTTACGTTACCTCTCTTCTCATGTGCGTGACCTTTTCTTCTCGGGGGCAACCATTTTGGACGACTCTATTTAGTCTTAGGTAGTAACGTATTTTTCTGATAACAATTTATTTTATCGACACCGCTCTTCATGAATATAAGTATATAAGAATTTTATAATATTCATGTGCTAAAAATTGAGACCAAAATCACCACCGTATTGGTGAAGGCACACTATATATCATTGCTTTCTTCACTTCATACCTACTGAAATGTGAGCTATTCCATCTTACTTTGACCTTTCCCCTTACGAAGCATGGTGGGATAGGAGTAGCGACGCCACTGGAACGAAGAAAACTTGCAGACTTTTCCAACATTCTGGACAAATTCTACACCAACAAAGCCTTTCTTTGCTTCAGGGAGACGACAGAGAGATTGAAGACTCCAGATGGCAAATGCTCTAGAGGACTACGTCAACAGTATCCTTGTTTATTTCATGCAATTGCATTAGTTTTTCTAGTGGTGGGAGGGGGGCAAATTTCTCATGGGGCCCATGTTGTTTTCAGCATTCATAAATCATATGATTTTGACGACGTTTTGTGAAGGATATGTGTACGTGTTGGAATATATTAATTGAAAAGTTTTAAAATGCGCGTTTTGACAAACTTGATGAGATCCCACAAATATGCATAATAAATTTCCCTTGCAGATCATTCTTGGCATCACTTCTATACATAATGTTCATACCATGAAGATTTCCTTGACTTTTGTCCTAGAAACTGTTTCAGTCATCACTGCAGATGGTCGAATGATAGTGGTAAGTACGACGCTAATAATATTCGAGCTGCATATTATATATATTTAGTACATGTACTTGAAAATGCAAGTCTTCTTGGGATCCAGACTAGCTAGGTTGCACCGGTTGTGTATTTTGTGGTAATTGTTTAAAAATAAAAAAACACATTAGCGCAAACAACTGTAAGAAGTCAGTGTGACTGTGAGAGCTCAGCATGTTAAGTACAAGTAAGAATAAAGGGGATGCTAATACAAGCATCGTCCTCTCTGGTGATGGTGTAAAGATAGATGTACAAATGTACTAAACTTTGGCCCATACAGGGGACACTGAAAGGGTTTGACCAGACGACAAACCTCATCTTAGACGAGAGCCATGAACGAGTCTTCAGCTCTGGGCAGGGTGTGGAGCAGGTGGTTCTGGGACTGTACATTATCAGGGGGGACAACATGTAAGTATTTACCAATTACCAAGAGTTCTATGATCTGCTTTGAAATAAGGGTTTTAAATGGGAAGAAAATAGGTTGTCCAGTGCTGGAAGTACAGTATCTCACTTGCAGTCATTCACTTGTTTTGTATCAATTCACCATGTATGTTATCTTAGATATTTACAACAGTGACATCATCATCGTATATGAATCATCCAACATGTTACTAGTATGATAGATTTTGAAATGTGCTACCTTTGGAACACTGCAAGTGTAGAAATGCACTATAGTAACTAAATGTTCCTCATGTCCACAGAGCTGTGGTAGGAGAAATAGACGATGACATTGACACCAGATTAGACATGGTAAACATCAAGGCAGAACCACTCAACCCTGTGGTGCACTGACACTCTGGATCCTGCACTGCAAAAGTCAAGCAGATGTTGGAAGGAAAGATCACAACATATTCCCACAGCCCAATATTTGTTGGGATGCTTCCATTGTACAGCAGGGCAGTCAGAAAATCTTCCACACAACTTTTCTTTGGATGTTAACTACACTACATACATGTATATGTACTCTTTATACTGTTTTGCATCAAGGACTCCTGGCAGCAGGTGGTCCAGTCCTATTAGGTACTCGCTACATCCTTTGTATGATGTACATGTCAGATAGTATTGCAAAGTGTGATGTGGGACTATTGCAGTGCCCATCTGTCCCATCATAGAATGTGTCTGTGTGTATACCTGATTAAGACTTTGTATGTGAGCCATCCTCCTTATCTTTATAGTAGCATTGTACATAAAAGCCTACCTTTTCTTTTGATTTAGCCCTCCTTGCTCCCATCCAGTGGCATTATGCATACAGTGGTAGCTGTCCTTTCATGCAGGCTTGTGTCAAAACAATAGGAGGTACATCCAGATCAGTACAATGTATCTGGAACTAAAGTCTCCATGATATACATGATTAACTCACATTCCAAAATGGAAAGTGCAAAACTTTGCAATTTATTACAACTTCTTCAGGTTCTCTGAAGCCCATCTGTTTTCATGTTCTTTATGTTTGTATTATGTATTATTCAAGCACCTATAGTGGCAAATGTTATGCAGTCAGTTACAGTGGCTTCACTTAAGCTAGTATGTCTTATGTTCTTCTTGATGACGATACTTCCAGATTAGAAGGGTAGTTTACTCCTACATTGTGTAAGTTTTTAAAACACCACTAGGTCATAAAAGGAAGAAAGGGGTAGAATTGAAGAAATAAAGTTTTTAATGAATTTTTTAACTAGTCTGATTTACTTGCTTCCATGTAACCTATACAGTAACAAAATGAAAGCATCAGGGATAACACTTGGGATAGACTAATGCAATACTCATTCATATTGTTAACGTCTTAGCCTTCTTTCATTCGCTAACTAGGCATCAGTATACTAGTATGCTAGTCTGGTGGATAGTTATTTTCATCAATGGTGAACACCATTATGTATGCATAGTTTCATCAGGATAGTACATGTATACTGTGTCATATGTATACACACGTCATCTAGGCATATAAATTAGACCCAGGGCTTGTCTCCTTCAATATGACAACAGGCCATTTTGATGAGCCCTCTGAAAGCCATGTTTTGGGACTCTTCTCTCCTGATGTCTCTGTTACCTGCACTTGCTCTGCAAACTCAGTAGAGGGAGCTGTTGGCTGCAGGGGCTGACACCATGAACACCAGTAAGTGATCCTTGTGAACTCCCCATGGTCAAGCATTTCTCTCTGCACCTTGTGGCCAAGAGGACATGTCTTCTTGCAGTAGATGTTCAGTCCTGCCAGTGGTGAGTAGGGAGTCCCGTCTTTAGCCCACTTCTTGGCAATATTACCCGCAGCCTCCACAAGTTCAAGGATCTTTTCAGATGACAGGGTGCTTCCCAGCTGCATGGGGTGTAGCCTGGCAGAATACAGGGCCTCATTCTTCACAATGTTCCCCACACCTGCAAACTGTCTCTGGTCCAGCAGCAGGTGGCACACTGGTTTCTCCTGTCTCAGGAAACTGCTGGATTTCTCAATGTTGAAGGAGTCTCGCAAGACATCATTCTCATTATCTAACAGTGGTGCATCTACCTGCTGGACACTGCACCCATAGAAGGCGAGAAATTCTTCCTCACCAAAAGACAACACCAGGCGAGGTTTGGGATCCTGGATATATCTGGCCCTGTACAGAGTAGAGTTAGAGATAGTCTTCAGCTCGTTGACTCGTAGTGTTCCCCACATGCCAAAGTGATACCGCAGCCAAACTTGGACGGACGACTGTTCAGATGAATCTGATGCAAACTTCATGAACATCTCCTTGCCATGAACCTGGATATCACTGAAATACAAACCCTGCAGAATCTGTGGAGGAAATACAATCGAGAAATTGTAAGTATTGGAGAGGTGTATACATGTCTGTTGTGTGTACTAGTCCCGGTAGACATCATAAGATTGTAAGTCTTGAAAATTCCACTAGCAAAATAAGCTCTTTTAAGTTTAGACATCATATAGCAGCTGCTTATTCAGGTATTGCAACCCTGCATAAGTTCATGTTATAGACGTCAGGGTGTTAAGTACAAAAATCTCTACTGTTAGTTCAAAAAAACATTGCTGCTTGGTAAGTGTTTAGGATTGTGGGATATCTGGGGTCACAATGGGTTTTAGCCTATCCGGTCCACACCAACGGTCAGTGAATTTGAAGTACAAACGTCTTCAGTCATTTTTATCTTAAAGCCACAAGAGACAAACCTGCAGGTCAACTCTCTTGGTGTTTCCTCCCGTCCTCAGAACCTTCCTTCCCAAGAACTGTCCCGCCATGGTCGCCCATTTCTTTACAGTTGGACCCTCTGGCATTATGGCGGCTGATAGCTGTCAGTTGTCCCGGGAAAATGCAACTCGTGCCTTACATTTACTTGGACCTTCCCTCACAGCTGACACGGAGGGGAGGTTGGGTGTTTGTGAGTGGACAAGCTACGAAAGAAAATCACAAACTGCGCAGTGATGAAGAACAAACATTTGTACGCATGACTGTTAGTAGTTACTGTTTGGCGCTGTTCTGATAATCAGGCCGCTTCCCGAATATCCAAGCAGATGTTTGGAGTGTCAGTCGTTACGTTCTGAATACACGTGCTATGTGTTTATCACACGGGCAAACTGGAACGATTTTCTTAGAGGGTAATGTGTGATAAAAACACTAATAACCACACATACACATGTGTGAAAGCAACATAAATCTATTGATAACGATCCAGGTGCACACAAACACTAGGCAAAACATTTGTTACATATTGCTGCCATGGATACCAGACACACCGATGAAATAATCACTCAGAATTAAGTTTAAAGGTAGAAAATACAACTCCTATGTAATATGTTACCCCATACAATCTACACCACGCCCCCTTTTTTCAACATAAGCGTCCGGACAGGTCTAAGGGAGTCTGGCACTGGTTGGTACCGGCACGGAGATGGGAAATCCTCCAGGTGCACGCACATACGTACTTCCAACCCGGGCAGAGTTCAGCATACTGCAATGTACACTCTCATTTGTTAGTTTGTGTGCTTAATTACAGTGCATAAAACACATCCGTTTTGTACCTTGTAGCTGCTCACACTACGGGCCCAACCCAACTCTCAGTGTGTTCTCGTAGCCTAGTGTGGCTCTCCTCAAACACAAAACCTCTGACTCTTTAGCTAAAACTTAGCCTCCTCAGCATGCTCTACGACTGGGCGTTTTAGGGGGCCTTTATACTGGTTTTCTGTCTTCTTTTCAGTTCTGAAATATCACTTTTATTTGTACAAAGCGGGGTTCAAAAGCTTCGTCAGACGGGAATGACAAGAAATAATACAGTGTTAGTAGTAGTAGAAACCTTATTTTTCTTCAATGGCCTTGGTACATTTTTAGCCTGACTTCAATGGTCAATAACCGTAAGGCTAGAGGCCATCTCATGGCTCTACATCGTCTGTGACTCTCTAGATGCTTCAACTTTGAATAATCAAAATAGGTATTTTGTCTCGACAGTTTTGTCGCTTTCTAGACAAAATGTTGCTGATATAATTTGAGTATATGAGACATGATGGTAATGGTAGGACGTATTCGGTATTCATATATTAGCTGTGCATGTAACATGATGAGTAAATACCCGTGACTTGCATTTCATGTGCACACCTGCTGTATTCTCATCCAGACACGCCTGTACATCCGAGCGACAGGAAGCTGTTGCTGTATATATTCAAACATTGTCCCGGCCTCAGAACACTCGGCGTTAGTCGCGAGGGTGAGGTGTGAGAGTACTCGTCAAGATGAAAACCTTCGCTGCCATCCTGCTAGCTTCTGCTGGCATCGGGCTCCTCTTCTCAAACGTGGGGGCCCAAGATCAGGTAGGTTTCCCCCTTTTGCCTGACAAGAAGTATATCTTCATGGGGAAAGTTGTTCAGTAGTTGTGAAAATGGATTACGTCGAATCAATTTTACGACGAAGCCTGAATAATGTTTTGCGCAGTGCAGGTAACTAGGGAGGTTACCAATGTTGACTGTTAGTGTGTTCTCTTGCAGTACCTGGATGCCCTGAATGGCCTTCAACAGATCGTGACGTCCATGGACGCTACTCTTCAAGAGCTGAAGGCTGACGTACAGGACATCAAGGCAACACTACAGCAAGACGGCTGTACAGTTGGTGAGTCAGGAAACAAAAAATATGATAAGACTTAAGAATCAAGAATTAAATTGGATGAAAATGCTCGTACCAATTTATTTTGCCAAAAATTTGTACTGCTGTTGCTTATATTGTTATCTGTTACGTGTATGCATTGAGTTGAGTACAGTGGCAAAAAATACGACAAATCATATCTCAACTATTGGTGGCTTCCAACTTTGGTGTTCACATTGCGTTCTGAAAATCACACTTTCTTCGCGGAATAGGCAACGATGTCCCCACTTCAGGCGGTAACACAGGCACAACCTCGGGAGGCGGCGACATCACACCGTTCTCACCAACTGGTAAGAACACAACAATGTCTCCTACTGATTAGAATGGGAGAAAACGACGACCTATAGTTATGTTCCATGACTCTTGAGTATACCGGGAATGGTGGTGGTATACCGGGAATGTATTTGCTATCATTTCAATTCTGTGCAGCGATTACTTATAAACAGAACACATCACGCAATTTGCAATATGTGGTCACTGTCTGCCCTTTCTTCGATATCTGTACTACAGTGGAAATTAAAAAAAAAACCCAACTCTGTTCCATAAAAACACCCAGACTCCGGAGACTTCACCCACCAGGCGGCTCTAGATGAGTACGACCGCTACATCCTCCTGTGGAAGTTCGACAGTGACACCATCACGTTCGAGGCGCATGTGCAGACCACGGGATTCATCGGGCTCGGCTTCTCACCCAACGGCGGCATGACCGGATCTGACGTCATCATCGGATGGGTGAAGGACGGACAGGCATACCTGACGGTAAACCGGCTCAGGTTCATTTCTAAAATGATGTGAATTTGATTTTTGTAACCTAAATTATTATTTTGTTGCTGCATGATAAATTATTGACGCACAGTTTAGTCAGCCTGGCATACCATGCCTTTATGAAGCAGTGCAGGAAGGTCTTTTCAGTACCAAGGCTGGGAAGGTGCCCATTCTCAATATAAAAGAAAAGGCTATTCTCTAAAGCATTCTTGTAAAGAGAAACAGTTCATTCGTGTACTTAATTCGTGTTACAGGACCGTTACGCGGAGGGATACTTCCTGCCGCGGCTGGACGCCAGCCAGGACGTGGAGCTGTTGTCTGGGTACGAGAACGGCACGCACACCGTGCTCAGGTTCCGCAGGAGGCTCCGGCCGTGCGACACCACGGACGACAGGGAGATCACGGTAAACATTCAGTATCATGTCATGTTTTACTGTGATTCCGCTTTTTCCTTCCCTTCTATAAATGTTTTTTTTCTCTGCTGGATCAATCGAGTCATCTGGTTTACCGGACTCAGTGGGGAAAAAAACTAAATTTGCAGAAATTTTAACTTAGTAAAACACCTTCTGACTGTGTTTTACACGAATTGAAGGTCTGGGCTTTGGGTATTTTCAACCAGAATATTACGTTTTAAGCATTAACACTCGCGTACAGGTTATCATTCTTGCGCAAATGGTATCTTTATTTACTCAATTGACACATGCATTTACCGACAAAACAAGTCTTTCCTTCTAAACTAATATTGACTTGGTACATCCTAACGTCCCTTCCTTCCGTTGCTCTTCCTTGCTGTCTTTTGTAGTCTGACTTTATCTGGGTCAGAGGTCGCAGCGGTAAAAAACTTATCTCTATTCCTTCCGGCGATATTTGCAGTCAAAGGAGGGCTTTCCGCGCAAACTCTTATTGTATTGACTTCATTACTTTATCATGACGTTATAATTCTCTCCTTCCTTTCTTCCGATGCTATACAAAGTATTGAAGCGTCATAACTCGCTAGCATCCTCGTAACATAATCACATATGAAATATGGGACCGGAAGAAGAATTTTAATCTGAATTTACAATCTGCTTGGCTGCTTACAGTTGCCGACATAGAAGAAGCATGCAGTTTATTATTCAGCTCATCGGGGACAATATTTGATAGTTATTACTTACACAACATGTGCCTCCCCGTAACCCTAATTACCCTGTCACCCTGTCCTAATGCCCGGCCCCGGCCCAGTCCAGGAGGTAGAACCAGTAAAAAGTCGTGCTATGACCTTCCCGTGAGTCTATGGTGAAGCAGCCCGGGAGCGGGGAGTCGTCCCGGGGGTCGGTGTCGGGGCGGGCCCGGGGGGACACGTACGTCCCGTTCCACGGGATCTGACAGGTCGGCGGGGCGGCGTCCTCGATGGAGGAGGAATGGAACGTCAGGTCCACGGACTTGAAAACATAATAAAAACGTAATACGTGTAATATCGCTAAACGGAAAATCCGGGCAGGTTCAAATTTTTCAACATAAGTGATTCTTACGGATTTTTTCTTCGAGGTAAATTCATGTTCATCGGTCATTCCTGAATAATCATATACTTGTGTTTTTAAATTTGTGCTAACATTATGCCATTCCTTTCTTACTTCCTCACTATTTTGCATTCATTCTGTCTCAGTCACTCGAGCTCACTCCCTCACCATCTTATCCGGCGCCTGGCCAGGTGTGACGGTGTAAACCAGCGGCCCGTGGTCACAGGACCCGACCGTGATCGGCTTCGTTTCGTTGGACTTCTTGTTAGGGACCAACTTTCCTGTTGCTATGGTAGCAATACACCTAGAAATTAGCAAATATATGAGAATCAAATTCTTGACAAACAGTTGGAAAATACATACCAGATGCCAGTAGATCAAAACACGTAGAAAAACAAATAAATGCTTCATATATAGACTTGGCATGTCCAATAACCCAATAACGTGTGTAGTTCCAGTTAATACTCCTTACCCATCGGGGTCCCACGTGTCATTCACGGTGACAATGAACCTGACCCATCTGACATTGTCGGGTGACAGGTCGGTGTCGTCACAGGATACCAACAGCTGTGAACCCGCCAGAAATATCAACAGCGGAACCAGGCCCGACCACCACGCCATCTTGTGTTCTTTGCACTTTGCACAAGACAGAATCCCTCTGTATGGCTGTTATGATATTGCTACAGTGTGTAATCTTCATGAACAATGCTTGTCATTTTGACCCTATATGACAAGCAATATAACAAAACTATTGATAATATACCAATGGTATATCGTAGTACAAAAAATGGCCTCAAAACTTCGGATCTTCAGAACCCTCACTAGCCACGGCATAATCTTTTGAGCATCTTGGTGTGTTTTTTTCCGATCCAGCTACCACTGAAATTGATAACAGTGGTGGACTTTGGTATCAAACATCCTGAGAGCACTAGTCGACTTAGAAGCATGAGAGGTGTTCAGTTTACCACTGAATCACTAGGCGTCGCACCACTTCTATCGGAGACAAAACTACTGTAACAGTCCTCTAATATATTAATATGACTCTACCTACTTAGTCAGCCTACATTTCTTCCGAAAAGTGTACGCCTTTTGTTCAGAAGCATGAACTGACAGAACATCTGCTGTGGACGTTTTTCCCATAACAATCTACACGAATTTACAACAATATACATATATCTTCATTTTGTTACTTTACAGTAAAACTTACCTCAAAAGTTTCACAAATTTGTCCCGACAGGAAGACACTGTGCGAATCATCTGGTCGTTCAACGATAACGACCCGGCGGCTCTGGAGGGGCCTGACGGACCGCAGTACCACGGCAGTAACCGCGGCAGTAAGAGCATCATCCTGCTGCAGAAGACTCCACCAAACCTCGATCTACAGGAGGGAAATGTCCTCACCTTTGACATGACGAACCCAAATGTTAGTCTATGTCCATCTGTACCTTATACAAGCATAACGGGGTAACAATACACCACCATATAAAAGAATGAACCTGCTCCATGTGTCAGTTATGTGTAGAAATTATTTCTCATTTGGCCCATTTCTATTCTTTTCAGCCGCGCGCTACCCTAAGCCTGGTAGAGGCTAATTTTATTCCACTGATTTCCTATAATCAAGACAAGGAAAAATTGCCTCACAAGCTCTCATCGGGCTTATACACCAACAAATGTATATTTACTTTGCAGGTGAGAATTCCATCAAGGGAGACAACTTACTGGTGTTCATCCTACCAGCTGCCGGTATTGGACAAAAAACACCATCTGGTGAAGGTAAGGGTAGTCAGGACAGCCCACTTAACAATATCAGAATATTTCATTCTGTAATGTTGTAATGTCGAAAAGATAAAATATTCAAATTGACTTCTACATTTCTGCAGATGAGCAGAACGCCTTTAGTCTAGGAAGTTTTCTATAGATCCTATCCATCATCACAGTAACGTACTGATATACTAGTATATATACTTTTCTCATTGCCCTACCTTGTCATACCCTTTCTGAATATCATGAAAGTTCATATGTTAGTAGTTACATGTTTAAAGTTAAAACTTTCGATCCAACACAAAAAGTTCTCTCACCTAGAGCTTTCGACCAGTCACTCTGGTCTTCCTCAGGACACTGACCCAATGAGGCTTGTCACGTGGCTTCTTTGAAGTGTGACGTCAACACTTGGTCAAAGGTATATGGTAGACGATGTCGGCCCCCGTCGCGGTTATGTGAAGGGTGATGGGCCCTGATGTAAATAGCCTCCTTCACCCCTCTCAGGAAAGAGTCTGAATATTGTATTTTGTTGCAGGTTGAACCTATCATCCAGCCCGGTAACGAGGGAGTGGTGCACCACATCTTAGTGTACCAGTGCACGGCAGGGTCCAACCCGCCCAGCGGCAGTCAGGAGTGTGCCAGCATGCCGTGGGGACAGTGTCGGGCCGTCATGGCCGCTTGGGCTGTGGGCGGAACGGTAAGAATCATCATGTTGAAGAGCTATGAAAATATGCAACTTAACCAAATTTTGCAAGAAAAGTAGTATGGATATACTAGTGGATACGGGATCGAGAGGTCGCGAGTTCAATATTCCTGACATTTTGGAAAAAGGCAGTTTACATGACATTCCTCACTCCGCCTTCTTATACAGTGGCAGTGGTTTAACAAAGCGATGTGGCCTGTTATTCCTCCTTTACCTGCCTTATTTGCTTCGATACAACATGCCCTGCACCAGAAGTCGACGGTTATTTGTTGTTGTTGTTGTTGTTGTTGTTGTTGTTGTTCAGGGCTACACATATCCTGACCATGTCGGCTTCTCCCTGGGCACGGCCGACGATCCAAGCTACGTCGTCATGCAGACCCACTACGACAATCCCCAACATCTGAGAGGTTAGTCACACTTGGCTTGTGAAAACCTTCAAACGATTTTCATTTAAAGTAAGAGTGATAAAAAGATCTACTACGCTTTAAGTATTTGTCGCTAACTCATATGAGGCTGTGACGTCTTCTACAGATGTTTACGACAACTCTGGAATGAGGTTCTACTACACACCCGACGTGCGGCAGTACGACGCTGGGATTCTGGAGGTTGGGATTCAGGTTAGCCAGAACCACGCCATCCCGCCTAAGGCTGACACCTTCGACAGTACCGCCTTCTGTTACAAGGAGTGCCTCGACCCGGTACGTCCATAAGATTTTTTTCAAGTCATCAGTTTCACCCAATATGGCACTCTATTGCCTAATTATGCCATTGACAATGTATTTCCGGGCAAATGACCTGTATCAAAACGGTATGAAATCGTTTTGTGTATTTGTGCGTGCGTGTGCGTGTATGAGGTCTTGAGGTATAAAGAGTGTCTGTGTCTGACTACCACACGGTCCTTTGCCTCCCGTAGTTCCTGCAGGAGCTGGGAGAACCCATCCACGTGTTCGCCTCCATGCTGCACGCCCATCAGGTGGGAGTCGGGGTCCGGACCAAGCTGGTGAGGAACGGAGTCTTGGAGACGTACGTCGGGCGTGACGACAACTACGACTTCAACCTACAGGAAACCCGCTTCCTGTATCCGGAGGTCACCATCAAGGAGGTATGGGTATAACCTCCAAGCAGATCCGGTGGGGCAAGGGGACTTTCTTTTGGCCGCCTGTATCCATTGGCCGCCTGTATCAGACGTTGGAACCTCTCCTTGCCCCACCGAATCTGCTTGGAGATCAGTACGAGTAAACAATTTCGCATTTCTGTCTTGTGTTCTGTAGTATGTCTGCATGTCTATCCTCTTTCCCAAACTACTAGTATGTCCTCATTCTAGATTTCCATTTAATTCAGGGAGACGAACTGATCACCGAATGCAGCTACCGCACAACCGACAAGAACGGGTTTACTTTCGTAAGTACATTGTAATATTAATAAAGAAATCTCGATAAGACGTTATGCATACATCCACTATTGTTACCTTGTACAATGTGTGCACCACGACGCTTCCTGCTGTCGACGTCGCACTTTGGATTTCCATACGGTAGATCATCGCTTAAGTCGTACAGTACGTAACTGTACGAATCTGAATATGTATACTTTGCCTTACCAAGGGAGGAGAGGCCTCATCCGAAGAGATGTGTCAGAACTACCTGCAGTACTACCCACGGTTCAAACTGGACCACTGCGACAGTCTGCCTTACATCATGCATGGCCTGAACTATTTCGGTATCACGCAGATCGACAAGTGAGTACATAGAACGGATTTGCCCCGCCACTGTACTCGGGCTTTCAGTGTTGTAAGCCTCTAGATGAACACGACAACCATTACCTATAACCATTTCGGTGCATCCAAGGTTTCGAAAAATTCATAATGATGGAAATGTAAACTTCCAGATGACGTGAACACAACAACCATAATCCAACGCAGTTTTAAACACTTGTGATGATAGCCAAGTTCTTGGTTATCATAAGAAGCCTATAAATATATAGAAGCCTAGAAATATATAGAAGCCTAGAAATATATAGAAGCCTAGAAATATATAGAAGCCTAGAAATGTAGATACCGTTGTATTCAGTGGTTTATCATCATAAGTGTTTAGAACTGCATTGGGTTATGGTTGTTGTGTGCAAAATTGCTGTATGTGTAGAATATGTTTAAATATATTTTACATCTTATCACACATCGTACAGCAATCTGCACGTAGTGAAACCAGACAGCCTGGCGGGGATGAACATCGGCACGGTCATGAACCAGCACCCCTGGACCACGGAGGAAGCGGAGAGGCTTGATCAGCACATTCGTAACGGTCCAGTCGTGGTGAGGTGCAAGGGACTGCCTGGATACACCAACCTGGTAAGCAGTCTACAGCGTAGACGGATATTACCGTCAGCTTGTATTGTGGTGTGTGGGGTTTGCGTTGGTTTTGATCCTTAAATGGGAACATGTTCCTGAAATGTTCGAAAGGCGGTATATTATGTCACCTCCATTCTTATCAGAATTCTTGTTTTCGCCAAAGGCAACTATATGTGTTTTTTCCTGTACTATATAGTCTTTTGTTGAATAGACTGTTTCCAGAACATTGTTGTTGTAGAATTTGCCATACGTTGATCGTCAAAATTATTGTCTTTATCACTAGGCTGGCATCACCGGGCAGCGGTTTGACCCTCTCCCTGAGCCGATTGTCCTGATGCCTAACTCTACCGCCATTCCAGGCTGCTGAGGACAAACACACGCATGCAGATTCTAGTGTTGTCCACCAATAAATTACACACAATGTGTGGAAATGCAGTGCTTCTCTTGTTCTTTCAAGAAATGTCAATCAATCAATCAATCAATCAATCAATCAAATGGTGTTTTATTCATAAAAACGTGGACTTTGCAGCCAAGGCTGAATTACGTCCAGTTGTACATGCAGATTCATTACACATTTATTTACATTTATTTACACAGGCATTAATACAGGCATTAACACAAATATCCACAATCATATTGACAACGTCTTTGACATACTGTCTAAGACAAACAGTGAGTGTTCAATAGATGGATCATACATGGGACGCTACTCTGTTTGTACCGCTCAGTTCTACATTTGGTAAGAGTCAGTTTGTTACTGGAACGAGTGGTGCGCTCAGTGGTGGTGCCCCTCCTGGGCGGTAGCCAGTGTTGGAAGTCCTGTGATCGGAGGACTTTCCTAGCAAAGTTCAAGCAAAGTTGGACCCTTCGATCTTCTAGCGTAGGTAAGTTCAGTGTTGCACATGCCTCGGGGTATGTAGTATAAGCCGACCCGAGTATTACACTACACGCGCGTTTCTGGATGTACTCAATCCTGTGACGTTGTCTGGTAGTCAGACCGGGATGCCAGGTGGGCGCCGCGTATTCACAGCTCGGACTGTGTAACTTGAGTTAGACGCTCCCATACAGTCGCCAAGCAATATCTGTAACAATGAAAATCACATAATTTGCGTAATACTTTATTTTGAAATATTTACTTCTACATAATTTTCATGAACAAATATTATTATCTGACGAATATTCTAGGGAAGAACCATTCTGACCATGCAGCTATAATTCTCACATCTTGATCTTGATCTTGAACAGGTACTGCGTAACACCCCTCAGTTGCGGGTGTAAGACACGCAGGGGAAAATACATGTAGCTCCATGTTCAGACAGAATGAAGAAGTCCTTTACTTTTCGCTATTTGAGTAGTTAGAATAACAACGTAGTTGATAAAATTAAGGTAGTCGTGTTCACAATTTCTCGCAGAAACTGCCATTAAAAGCCTATGGTTAGTTTCTATGCTACTTTTGTTTGCTATGGCCAAGTTCACACCTCCTCATGTGCAGTTCACAGGGTTCTAAACAGGTGGCGTCGCAGGACGACCATATCACGAAGTTTAGAATGGAAAACTAAGGGGGAACCAATATTCTACTCTACATAGATTTTGATCACTCCGTCATGTGGCTACTAGTATGTAAGAAGACAGGGAAAAACAGGAAATGGAGGAAGGGGTGAAATAAAGGGAAGGTAGAGAAACAAACCACTACAAACTCACAGTGTGCAACAATATTGCCTGCTGACACAGGTCTGAGTGCCCCTTGAGAAAGAAAAAAGTGGCAGCTGGCTGGGGAAGACAGTTGCCTGCCTGGGAGAGGGTCTTCACTATGTAAAGTTGGACGGGACTATTCTAATGTGGCTTGTGACCTGCGGCACATTTTCTTCATAAAGGAATGACAGGAAATGATACAGTGTTAGTTTTTACAAACATTATATTTGTCTTCAATGGCCTTGGCACATTCTTAGCCTGACTTCAATGGTCAATGACTGTAAGGCTAGACGCCATTACATGAACTCGTTTGGTGCTGTTCTGATCATCAGCAGGCTGCTTCCGAATATCCAACCAGATGTTGGACGATCGTTTTCTATTTATGTGTCCTTGCAGAAGGCACGGAGAGAATACGGTACGATTTTCTTAGAGGATAATGTGTCTGGTAACCCTAGTAACCATACATATACATATGTGTCACATATGTATGGTTGATAGTGTAAGCATTATATCTATTCATAACAAACCAATTTGCACACAAACACCGTGATAGATACGTTTATACGTGCACTTCTTGTGCAAGGCAAAATATTCTTGGGCATGTATATCTAAGTTTGCCGAAAAATAATCGATCAGAATGAGGTTTACAGATAAATATACAGTTCTCATGTAATACCAGTGCGTTACACCATAAAACCTACACCACGCCCCTTTTTTTCAACACAGGCGTCCGGTCAGGTATGACTAAGGAAAACTTGTAGTGGTTGGTACCGGGGCGGTGATGAGAAATTATCCAGGTGCAAGTACATACGCAAGTTCAATGTACGTGCTCATCCTGTACATCCGAGTGACAGGAAGCTGTGCTGTATATATTCAAATATCGTCCCAGCTTCAGAACACTCGGCGTCAGTCGCGAGGGTGAGGTGTGAGAGTACTCGTCAAGATGAAAACCTTCGCTGCCTTCCTGCTAGCTTCTGCTGGCATCGGTCTCCTCTTTTCAAACGTGCGGGCCCAAGATCAGGTAGGTTTCTTTTTTGCTTGACAAGAAAGTTGGAAATGTCAATTGCTGTACAGATAATACGTTTTTTTACGACCTGGTCAAGCATTCGTGTGAATTCGAAGCAGTACAGGTAACTATGGACTGTACCAACGTTGTTTGAGACTGTGTGTTCTCTTGCAGTACCTGGATGCCATTAGTGGCCTTCAACAGATCGTGATCGCTACTCTTGAAGAGCTGAAGGCTGACGTACAGGACATCAAGGCAACACTACAGCAGAGTGGCTGTACAGTTGGTGAGTCAAGAAAACATTTTGAAATATCACAAAACTCAGGAATCAAGTTGGATGAGGCAAGAATTTCTTTTGGCAACAATTTGTTTTGTTCCGTTCTTGCTCATTTTGTTATCTGCTTACGTTCTTGCTCATTTTGTTATCTGCTTACGCTCATTTTGTTATCTGCTTACGTATTATCTGCCAGTAGCAGATAATACGACAAATCAATCATATGTACTGGTGACTTCCAACTTTGATGTTCACATTGCTTTCTGAAAATCACACTTTCCTCGCGGAATCAGGTGTAATGATTTGTTAAACTGTTTATGCTTTTCCCCATGGGCAACGATGTCCCGACTTCAGGCGGTAACACAGGCACAACCTCGGGAGGCGGCGACATTACACCGTTCGCACCGTCTGGTAAGAACACAACAATGTCTCCTAGTGATTAGAATGGGCCGGGAGATAACGAAAACTTACAGTTTTGTGTACCTGTCCCAACTTCAAAGCCTCGTGTATAAATTACCAGTAATGTATGCTGTCATTTCATTACTACATGTATTAAAAAGAACCCTCAATTTACAATATGTGGTCACTGTCGGGCCTTCTTTCTTTGACCTGTATGATAACAAAATGCTCTCTCCTATAATTTAACACCCAGACTCCGGAGACTTCACCCACCAGGCGGCTCTAGATGAGTACGACCGCTACATCCTCCTGTGGAAGTTCGACAGTGACACCATCACGTTCGAGGCGCATGTGCAGACCACGGGATTCATCGGGCTCGGCTTCTCACCCAACGGCGGCATGACCGGATCTGACGTCATCATCGGATGGGTGAAGGACGGACAGGCATACCTGACGGTAAACCGGTTCAGGTTCATTTCTAAAATGATGTGAATTTGATTTTTCTTTTGTAACGTCAATTTTTTTTGTTTGCTTTATGTTAGATGGTTGACGAGTAGTTTCTTCAGCCTAGCACACCATGCCTTTATGAAACGGTGCAGGAAGGTCTTTTCAGTACCAAGGCTGGGAAGGTGCCCATTCTCAATATAAAAGAAAAGGCTAGTCTCTAAAGCATTCTTGTAAAGAGAGACAATTCATTCTTGTACTTAACTCATGTTGCAGGACCGTTACGCGGAGGGATACTTCCTGCCGCGGCTGGACGCCAGCCAGGACGTGGAGCTGTTGTCTGGGTACGAGAACGGCACGCACACCGTGCTCAGGTTCCGCAGGAGGCTCCGGCCGTGCGACAGCACGGACGACAGGGAGATCACGGTAAACATTCAATATGATGTGTTGCTTTTACTATGATTCTGCTTTATTTGTTCCTCCGTCTTTTATCTCTGTAAATGTTTTTTTATTATCTCGGCTTGATCAATCACGCCATCTGGTTTACCGGAAACGAACACCTTCCGACTGTGTTTTACAAGGAGGCCTCGGCTTTTGGGTATTTTTAACCAGAAATATAAGTAACGTTATATATGTTTCCGTCCAATCCAGCCGTCCTTTACAATCGATAACGATGGTAGACTTTGGTATCAAACATCCTGTATGTAGAGCACAAGTTCTGATTTGGCAACATTAGAGTTTTTCAGTTTACAAACGAATCACTAGGGGTCGCATCACTCCCAGAGACAAAACCACAGTCTTATAACATGACTATACCTGCATGTATAATTCTTACAAAAAAGTTGTTTTGTCCAGAAGCATGAACTGACAGAACATATGTTGCGTACGTTTTTCCTATAACCATGTACACAAATCGACAACAATATATCTTCATTTTTGTTTAACGTTTTTCTTCAACGTTACGTTTACATTTAAATTTTCCTCAAACGTTTTACAATATTTTTCTACACAGGAGGACACTATGCGAATCATCTGGTCCTTCAACGATAATGACCCGGCGGCTCTGGAGGGGCCTGACGGACCGCAGTACCACGGTAGTAACCGCGGCAGTAAGAGCATCATCCTGCTGCAGAAGTCTCCACCAAACCTCGATCTACAGGAGGGAAATGTCCTCACCTTTGACATGGCGAACCCACATGTTAGTCTATACCCATCTGTACCGTATACTTGTGGACATAACGCAGGAGAATTCAGACGCTAGCAGGAAAACAATACATCATATAAAAGGATGTACCTGCTTCATATGTCAGTTATCATGAATCTGGGAGCAGTATAAAGAATATATACTGTAGTTCGTTTTAGCCCACTGGTTTCCTTTAATCAAGACGATAAAAATTGCTAAAAGCGACGTTTGCTCTTCTTATCACATCAGCAGATGTATATTTCCTTTGCAGGTGAAAGTTCCGTCGAAGGACACTACTTACTGGTGTACATCCTACCAGCTGCCGGTATTGGACAAAAAACACCATCTGGTGAAGGTAAGGCTAGTCAGGACAATCTGATTAAAACAGTTTTCTTATTGGCTTCTACATTTCCTTTAGGGTCGCTCTGCAGATGAGCAAAACACCATTGGTTTAGGAAGTTACTAGTAATACTACCATGTATTAACTTTCTATGTACCTTATCCATCATCACAGTGAAGTGCTGATCCTCTCCCATTGCCCAACCTTTTGTACCTTGATATTGTATTTTGTTGCATGTTCTCAGGTCGAGCCGCTCATCCAGCCCGGTAACGAGGGTGTGGTGCACCACATCTTAGTGTACCAGTGCACGGCAGGGTCCAACCCGCCCAGCGGCAGTCAGGAGTGTGCCAGCATGCCGTGGGGACAGTGTCGGGCCATCATGGCCGCCTGGGCTGTGGGCGGAACGGTAAGAATTATTATCATGACATGTACAGGTCGTTGTGTTGGAGGGCTGTAAGCCTATGCGATTAAACCCAATCTTGTAATAAAAGTAGGATAATTAGACTGGCCGCAAAAAAAGTGATTCCTTCAGGCAGATACGAAGTTGGGACGTCAATTAGAAACAACTGTTTCGTCACCTGTTGTAAGGTATGGGGCTGTACTTTTAGTTTTAAAATGTGTTCCCAGCTAAAAGTCATGGTTCTCTCCGTTGTATTTCTATGTAATTGGGCATGTGGTATGCCATTATGTCCGTGATGATGCACTTTTTTTCTATTCACCGTAGCAGTTTTCATATTGAAGTAAATGCATATTTCAGAAACACCCCTCCTATAATGTCGTTGCAACGTTTTCGCCCGGCCAATGGGTACGCCCGTCTGTACGTTGCTATTGAACCGCCGGTAGGCCGGCGCAGTCCATGTCAGGTCGGGCGGGTACCGTTGACATGCAAAATATAAAACTTCACGGAATTGTGGCCGATGACTACTTGTTTATGGTTGTTGTTGTTGTTGTTGTTCAGGGCTACACATATCCTGACCATGTCGGCTTCTCCCTGGGCACGGCCGACGATCCAAGCTACGTCGTCATGCAGACGCACTACGACAATCCCCAACATCTGAACGGTTAGTCTCACATGAGTACGCAGTGACACATGGCATGGCATGTAAAATGACATCAAATTATTTTCACTTTTTATGATTAAAAATTGGATTTTGCCGCCAACGTGTACGTAACTGCGAGTTCTTCCATACTTCTACAGATGTTTACGACAACTCTGGAATGAGGTTCTACTACACACCCGACGTGCGGCAGTACGACGCTGGGATTCTGGAGGTTGGGGTACAGGTTAGCCAGAACCACGCCATCCCGCCTAAGGCTGACACCTTCGACAGCACCGCCTTCTGTTACAAGGAGTGCCTCGACCCGGTACGTCTATATGATAACCATTTTTTAAACCATCAATTTCACCCAATACGGGACTCTATCTCCTAATTCTGCCATTTCATTTCCGGGAAAATGACCTGCATTGCCTTGCCGACGTTTTGTGGTCTTGTGCATGCGTGTATGAGGTCTGGGGTATGTACACCTTACTCAATACACACGAGTGTCTGTGTCTGACAACCACACGGTCCTTTGCCTCCCGTAGTTCCTGCAACAGCTGGGAGAACCCATCCACGTGTTCGCCTCCATGCTGCACGCCCATCAGGTGGGAGTCGGGGTCCGGACCAAGCTGGTGAGGAACGGAGTCATGGAGACGTACATCGGCCGGGACGAGAACTACGACTTCAACCTGCAGGAAGCCCGCTTCCTGTATCCGGAGATCACCATAAAGGAGGTATAAAGGGGGTAAACAATTTCGCAATTCTGCCTTTTGTTCTATAGCACGTAAGAATGAGTCTTTCTTCTCCCTTTCCCAAACTATGTCCTCATTCTATATTTCCATTTACTTCAGGGAGACGAACTGATCACCGAATGCAGCTATCGCACAACCGACAAGAACGGGTTTACTTTCGTAAGTACATACTATACACATAAATAAATCTCGACAAGAGGTTTCCCCTATTGTTATATTGCAGAGTCTGTGTACCACAACGCTTGCTGATATACTAGTAAATAAATGTCAACATGTGCACTTTTCCTTACGAAGGGAGGAGAGGGCTCATCCGAAGAGATGTGTCAGAACTACCTGCAGTACTACCCACGGTTCAAACTGGACCACTGCGACAGTCTGCCTTACATCATGCATGGTCTGGACTTCTTCGGTATTACGCAGATCGATAAGTGAGTACATAGAACGGCTTTCAATGGACAGTTGTCCTGATTATGGTACGTCCACGGTTCATAATGATTTTGTAAGGTTGCAGATGAACACAGGAACCATCACCCAGTGCAGTTCTGAAGACTAGAAATGTAGATACCGGTATATTCAGAAGCCCCCACCGTAACGAAAAATTGCCATACGTGTACAATATGTCTAAAATACTATTACTTCGCATTACACAGTAATCTGCACGTAGTGAAACCAGACAGCATGGCGGGGATGGACATCGGCGTGGTCCTGAACCAGCACCCCTGGGCCGTGGAAGAAGCTGAGAGGTTTGACCAGCACGTTCGTAACGGTCCAGTCGTAGTGAAGTGTACGGGACGATCTGGATTCACCAACCTGGTAAGCACTCGGGAAACAATCGACAGTGTAAACAGTTATCAGCGTCAGCGTGTATTGTGGTGTGTGGGATTGCGTTGGTTTTGGTCCTTAGATGGGCACATGATCCTGTTCCATAACGTTATAGACTTGTTTCAAGAATATTTTTGTAGTAGAAGTTGCCATAAGTTGATCGTCAAAATTATTGTCTTTATCACTAGGCTGGCATCACCGGGCAGCTGTTTGACCCTCTCCCTGATCCGATTGTCCTGATGCCTAACTCTACCGCCATTCCAGGCTGCTGAGGACAAACACACGCAGATTATACTGTTGTCCACCAATAAAGTACACACAATGTCAATGTGTGGAAATCCGACGCTTCTCTTTTTATTTTGCTATATGTGTGACTTGAGCTCAACGATCCCATACCTCCGCCAAACAATTTTATCAGCTAATTTGCATAATTGCCTGTTATTTGAAATACTCACTTCTACATAAATTACATGTGTTTCAAATATTTTCCCTGACGAATATTCTACACTGGAGCATATATATTCGCCAGAATGGGATGGACAGCAGGCTACTGATTCTCGGACTCTGTTTCTAGGGAAGAGTTGAAAATACTAGCAGAATAAAGAAGGCCTTTACGTTTCACTAGATGAGTACCTAACTATGTTAAAAAACTAAGCTGTGTTCACAATAGTTAACAGAAACAAACTTTTAGGCCTATGTGTGGTTGGTTTCTATGCTACTTTTGTTTGCTATTGCCAAGTTCACACCTCCTTATGTGCAGTTCACATGGTTTTAAACAGATGGCGTCGCAGGACGACGAAGTTTAAAGAGGAAAACCAAGGGAGAACCAATATTCTACTTACATAGATTCCGATATCTCCGTTTTTTTCCGGCAGGAAAAAGGAGGAAATGGAGGAAGGAATGAAATAATGGATAGGCAGAGAAATAAACAGCTACATACTCCTACTGACCAACTAAACTGCAGAGTTCAGACTTGCATGCATACTCATGTAAACGTTAAACGACAGCTCCTATATGCAAACCTTAAACGCTTCGATATGATTCTGCTACTAGCTAGTACTCTAGATCTGCTACAGCTAAAACAAAGCACACCATGTATGAAACCTATCCTATACAAAACCCAGAGTGTGAATACATGGTGGTGGATCCACCGAATGAGAAACGTGTTATGGTGTATATAGAAAGAACACCATACAAAGACCTTAAAAGATTTGTAAAGTTGCCAACACATCACGCCCAAGAATCCCTTACCGTGCAGTGGTAATCTTTTGGCACCATCTGGCGAAAAATAATTCATTTCCCATGTATAGGTCCAATCTCAGTTTGCATTGCTTTATGTAAGCGCTGATCGTTATGTATCAGGGTCAAATCAGTTCACAGACATCCTGTAATGATCACATACAAGGTAACCAAATTACCGTGGCTGTGCGTCATAACTTATCCGAGATGGCCCGCCTGTTCCATACATGTACAGTAACGCCGGGCATTTAATTTTCCTGCACCGCAAAGTCAACATTGAGCGTGATCAGATCCAATAACTGATGAAGGATGACTTCTCGGTGTGTGCTGCAGCTAAATCATCTCGCCACATCTAATGTGCTTGAGCCCATTCACAACCTATTTGGACGATGTTATAATGACGGCAAGTATGGGGAAGCCAGAGATTACAGCAATTTTGATACCGTAATTATCAATATCCGATCAGGGAATAGATTTATAACCACCTCCCGAACTCACCCCCGTTTCCGATGTTTTGCACACGTATCAACGAACTGGACATTTATCAGAAATCCAAAGTAAACTTTCAAAAACAAATTTCCATGAGAGAAACGTGTATGTTAGTAGGTAACGATAGTTTTTTTTTCGCTTTCAGGAGATAATTCAGTTTATCAATATAATTTCGAACGCATAGATCTACTACGAAATATGATCTACACTTGTACCTTAATCAATCTCAATAGGATTAGAATTTCTTCTAATTTTTTCGCGCAGATGTGATAAAACATGTCATTTACATAATTCATGGACATCGATATACTTGTACCTCATCGATATACTAGTACTAGTACCGGCCAGAGAACTGAAATCATTAATTTGATTGAGGTTATATATTCCGGTGGAGAGGGGGCGTGTTGTAATCTGATCTATTCGAACTACGTCATTTGATGGGGAAAACATATACGTCGGCTTCCTGTTTTTCTGAACTTTGGAATGAGGCGGGGTACATGCATGATGTGGGGTTTTTAGGGAGCGGCGTGGGGACAGTAGAATCTAATACATGTAACTTGTTATTATAGCGCGTCATTTTGACTTTGCCGCGCTTAAGAGATGGGCGTGGTCTATCATCACGTGACAGTACGGCAGTGTGGAGACCGCTGCTGTGTTGACTAGTGCTGCATGTTGTCGGTGTCGCCGAGCTGTTGTCTACTCTACGCGCCCAGAAAGTCTACAATCTACGCCGAGAAATGGTAGCGAAGGTCGCACACAGTCTGTTGATCATTGATTCCATGCGCTAGCTGTTCGCCGCGGTGTTTTTGAGTAAGAGAGCTAACTACGCCCTTAGCAAGCTCCCGACGTTGAAGGGGCCGCGCCGTGCACCAGTTGCCTTCGGTGGACAGAGCAGCTTGACCCGAAGACCTCCCAACAGCAAACATGCCTCTCTTCGGGAAGAAGAAGTTCGACGAGCGCTCCAGTGAGATGACGAGAAGGTTCATGTTTAAGGAGACACTTGGAACGTGAGTTCAACAACATTCTTGCCGCCCTGTCTCCCCCCTGTATCGGTGTATAAACTTTCATACCTAAGGAGTAACGTAAGGAATACCCCGCGGTTGCTGCTGCACGAGTTGGCAGTTTGCTTGCAATAAGAAACCGGGTCTCTTTTTACTATAAACCCATGCTCATAAATACTTCAGCTGCCTTATGTCCATGTTAAAAACTTAAAGTGAGTCTGGTTTGGGCGTATAAAATAGCCTGGTCATCTGTAGAAAAAGGTTTTCCTTGACAGGTGAAGTGGGTGGGTGGGGGGTGTATATTACAACAACAGAAGATATTTGCCATCGAAAAACAAAGAGGCGAGTCCAGACAATTCCGTGGGCTTGTTTGTAGAATTAGACAAGGATCGCCTGGAAAGGAAAGTGCTCCAAAGTATACACCGGACACGGCGAGATTCCTTGTAATTCTATCTGCCTGTTTTCAATGTTTTGAGCCGAAGTGATGTTCATTCCTGCCGTATTTACCCGTGCTTCTCCAGGGGAGCCTTCTCGGAGGTACTGCTTGCTGAGGACCGAGAGACCCACGCCATGGTCGCGGTGAAATGCATCGACAAGAAGCCCTGAAGGGCAAGGAA